GTGTCCCCATCACCCCAGTGGTGCAGGAAGGAGATGGATATTAAAGGTAAGATGCCAGGCTCCAGCTGCCCTGTGTCCCCACGTGCAATTTCCCTCCAGCTGCTCCTGGCATCACCCCAGGTCCCCCAAAAGCCAGTGCCACCCCAGCATCAGGCAGCACCACGCGCATGTGTCCCTGAGCTGGGGTTTCTTGCACAAGCTCCTCCGGGCTTGGCAGCAGCTTTACAGGGTGCTGGCACGCAGCGGGCGTGTTTGCTTGGGTGCAAATATGTGCTGGGTGGGTGGAAATGGAAAAGGGCGTACGCCACAGCGTGGCCCTGCCATGCACGGCATGATCCTGGCCGTAAGGACATCAGGAGCGGTCCTGGCTCTGAGCAAAGGGTCTGTCACCCTGTCCCCACCACCAGCGGGTGCCCAGGAAGGGCACGGAGTGACACATCCTCAGCACATCCAACCACTGGGGTTTGTGATTTGGGATGCCATGAAATAGCTGTTGCGCCTTTGCTTGTAGACGCTCAAGGGGAAGGCTCTTCCTCTGTGAATTTATCCCAATCCTTGTTGGACCCAGCCATATTCCTAGCAGGATGGCTCCAGGGAATAACATCCCTTTGGGCGGGTTTTGACTCTGCCTGTGCCCCCCCGTCCCCTTCGTCCCTGTCCCCACGCACCCGCTCTGGCTCAGTCCACCCTTGCCCTGCCCCAGACGTCCTGATGTTCGAGACGGAGGACCTGGTGCTGAGGAAGAACGAGAAGAACTTCGTGCTGTGCCTGCTGGAGCTGGCGCGCCGCACCGCCCGCTTCGGCATGCGCGCCCCGACCCTTGTGCAGATGGAAGAGGAGATCGAGGAGGAGCTCCGCCAGGAGCTGGACCTGCCACCCGCAGACACCCCCCTGCCCCGGCCCCCCAGGAAACCACGGGACCTCCACAACCTCGACCAGATGGTACGGAGGGGCATGGAGCGGGATGGGGATGGGGATAGGGATAGGGATGGCCACCCCAGATGGGGATGGGGATGGGGATAGGGATGGAAACCCCAGGACCCTTCCCAGGAGCCCTGGTGAGGACCCATCCCTGCTGCCCGCAGGTCCAGAACCTGGTGGTCCGCTGTACCTGCCCCGTGCAGTTCCCCATGGTCAAGATATCCGAAGGGAAATACCGCGTGGGTGACTCCGACACCCTCATCTTTGTCCGGGTGAGTCTGCTTCGCCCCGTGCTTTTGGGGCACAGGCACCAGGAATCCTGCTCTGCTCCCACGAAGCCTCTTCCATAATCCGTTGCCCAAATGGGGCCAATGTGGGGTTTTTGACTGTTATCCCCGAAGCAGGGCAGCAGGGAAGCTCGGCCCTGGGGTACGTGTTGGCATGGATGTAACTATCCGTGTGTACGGGACAAAACCTGCCGTCCCACGCCGAGCCAGAGCCAGGTCTTACCCAGCAATGGGAACACTGGGATGCTCTGTCCCTGCTGGATCCACCCCTCAGCCTGGCCTTCCCAAAGGGCTCAGCACATGATGGTGGAGAGGGGTTTTTCCAAAAGGCTCCCCACTCTCCTTGGGGTGATGAAACGTGCCTGTCAGGATGGCAGCAGGAGCTGAGACTCTCCCTGCCTTGGTGGCACTGAGCCGGAGATGAAGGTGTCCTTTGGGAGACCTGGTGGCACTTAGGGCAAGCCCACAGCTCTCGAGCACTGGAGGACGAAGCCTGGCTGAGTATGCCACCCCCAGGCTGCCTAAAAAAGGGGAGGGGGGGAGGTCCCCCCCTCTCCAGGCCTCACTGCACAAGGCATCCCATGCAGATCCTGCGGGAGCACATCATGGTGCGGGTCGGGGGTGGCTGGGACACGCTGGAGCACTACCTGGACAAGCACGACCCATGCCGCTGCACCTCGCTCTGTGAGTCCCCGCGTCCCCAAACCCCGTGGCTCTGCCCTGTGGCTGG